TAAACCGACGGGCTCAGGCAATCCACATGCCTAGGCCTCCCAAAGTGCTAGAATTACCGGCTGAGCCACCAAGCCTAGCCATTTGGAGTCATTTTTAAGGGTGAACCTGGAAATGGCTTTTCCAACCCAGAAAGCCCACTGTGGGTTAACTAGGCTCCAGTCCCATATCTGCCAATGACCTGCTATTTGGCCTTTGATCAAATAGTTGATCTTGGATCAAAGCTCCATTGGATTCAGGAAGGGACTGAGAATAAGACTATCAAAGCATAGCCTGAAAAAGAGGAGCTTGTCAGATACCTAAGGAACAAACATAAAGCAGTAACTAAAAGGTACGTTACCTGTGCAAAATTATAAACATCAGTGGCATAGATCAGAAGTCAAAAATAAACCCAGCCATATGTAAAAATTTGCCAAATGATAACATTTCTCAAGCAATGTATAAAGGAAGGGTTTCTTAATTAGTAATGTTAACAGAACTGGATAGGAATAAGATCCAGATAGAGTAAAGGATTATGCGATTATTTATTTATTTATTTCAAACAACTTGCTTTAGTTGAAGTCTCACTCTGTCGCCCAAGTAGGAGTGCAGTGGCATGCACACAGCTACCATAGCCTGAACATGCTGGGCTCCAGAGATCCTTCTGCCTTAGCCTTCCAAGCAGCTGGAACCACCAGCACACACCACCACGCCCAGCTAATTTTTAAAAAATTTATTGTAGAGACGAGGTCTTGCCAAGTTACCCAGGCTGATCTAGTATCCCTGGGTTCAGGCAATCCTCTCGCCTCTGCCACCCAAAGTGCTGGGATTACAGGTGTGAGCCACTGCACCCAGTCTGCATTACGTGATTTTTTTTTTTTAATCACAGAAAAAGTAGTAGGAAATACAAGGGCATATTTATGAGATCTGGAGCAGGATAAAAACTATCCCAGGTCTGAAGTAATAGAGGAAATCACAAAGGAAAAGTCCATCAGATTTGACAGAAAAAAATAAGACATTTTTTACCATGATATTACACGGTAACAAGAGATTAATATTTATGGTAACTTAAAAATCTACTTAAAGATTTAGGAAAACCATCAAGTTCCTAAAGATATGAAAAGACATTTCCCTCAGGGAGAAGTTCATATCAGAAACGAACACGTAAAATGTGGGGGTTGAACTCACGACCTTCAGGTTTCTCGCCTGCTGTAACTTCCGACCCATGGGGAAGAACTGGAGGAGTGAGGAGGCATGGATTTGGCCCTGCTACACCTCTGCTTGAGTGGACAAAAGAAATGCCAGAACTCCGTGGAGGACGAGGAAACTTACAAGGGACTGAGCTTTCTCCCCCTCCAATTCCCACAAAAGGCATCCTGGCCATTTAGCTGAAGAGTGACTGACAAGACCATCATCTTAGCTTCTAGACCAACAAGACCAACATCTTAGCTTCTAGGCCTTGGAGTCCTGCTGACTTGGGTCAAAGCTACTCCAAATGCTGAAGGACCAGACCGCATGGAGGGGCTGGAGAATTCCACCTCCAACACCTGGAAGACAGATCCCAGCAGATCCCAGTTTGAAACTGGGTGACTACTGGCAGCCACTTTACTTAGGAAAGAAAGAAGGACATGCATGACTGGTCCAAGCCTCCCATGCCATTAACCTCCAGAAAGTGAATGAGCCACATTTGCTTACAGGGTCTCTGACAGGTGTCATGTCCCCCACCACAATGTGACCTATCTGAGCTGTCTACTTCTGAAGAAAATGTTGGGGGGGCTTCCTGCAACGCCCAGCCAAACTTTCTTTCCTGGAATGCACCAAGTTCACCAATGACCACATCCTCCCTTTATGCAGGCCCAGAGGAAGAGGCACAAAGCACAACATACTTCAGCTTTCTGAACAGTCAGGCACCCTTCTGCGGTAGTGTGTCCATTTGCAAAGCTCCATACCTACTCTTCCTTTAGCCCTGCCAGGGGAATGATCCAGCGGCAGCTTAACAAAGTAGAATGAACACAGAGGGACTAGACATTGGCCAGAGGCCAAAGCTACCTTCAGGAGTAGCTCTCCTTAAACACAAAGCACCAATGGGAAGGAAGACGATAGAAATGGGTTTCTAACGCTGCATGAGGAATGGTGAGTAGATCTCAGGCAGAACTTACTGTCAGAAAAAAACTGTCCAGAGTAAGTTTTGGTCGTTTCTTTTCTAGTATTCACTTTGTCTATTCACAGTGGTTTCTGGATGGACTTCCCAGAAGCAGGGGTGGGAGGGGGCGGGGGAGGTGGTGCTCTTCGTGACACCCAGGACCCACCTTCAGTAGGAAAAGTTGGATTTCACAGGCCACTGGCTAGTCTTGGGTGCTACACATTCTCTCTTCTCTCCCTCAAGTTCCAAATCCTTTCCACTAAAGAGCTTGCCTCCATTCACCCAAATGGATTGTTTTAAAATGTAAACACACACACACAGAGACTGGCAAAGGAAATTAATTAAATGAGAAAGACATACACAGACAGAGAAAAAAAAGAATGATACACTTTGTTCTAGGTTCTGCTTCTAAATCTGGCAGGAGGTGTGAAGGGCTGGCAGCATGGTGGTAGTGGTGGCAGTGGAAGCAGCAGGCTCCCTCCTGCCTCAGGCATCCCGCCAGCAGTGGCTAAACTCTCAGGAGCAGAGGGAGAGACAGACGCCCTGCCCATCGGGCCAGGAGCCGATGGATGTGCCTCAAACCACAGTCTTGTGATTCATGTGGATGACGACCCCGAGGTCTCACCCCAGGCCTCTCACACTGTGATCCCAGATCTCCAGCCCCACATGGGCATCTGTGTTTGACTGGCTCCTCAAACTGAACTTGTCTGAAGCCAAAGAGATCATTTTTGTCAACCCTCCTCCTCCCACTGCGCCTTTCGCTTTTCCCTCTAGGTTCAGAATCTCCAAGTTGGACATGTGGTTCCCCTCATCTATTTAGGTCGATTAAGATCTTTCAGGGCAACCCCTTCGGGTCCCCTCCCACTGTGGGAGCTTTTCTGTCCTCTCAATACATCCTGGGTTAAAAAAAAACAAAAGATCTTTCAGCCAGGCATGGTGGCTCATGCCTATAATCCCAGCACTGTGGGAGGCCAAGGTGAGAAGACTGCCTGAGCCCAGGAGTTTGAGACCAGCCTGGGCAACATGACAAGACCTCATCTCTACAATAAGTTTAAAAAAAATTAGCGGGGCATGATGGTGCATGCCTGTAGTCCAGCTACTCAGAAGGCTGAGGCAGAAGGATTGCCTGACCCTAGCAAGTCGAGGCTGCAGAAGCTGTGAGCATGCCATTGCACTCCAGCCTGGGCAACAGAGTCAGACTCCAACTAAAAAAAATACGTTAAAAAACAAATAGCTGGCCGGGCTCGGTGGCTCAGCCTATAATCCCAGCACTTTGGGAGGCCGAGGTGAGTGGACTGCCTGAGCCCGCGGGTTCGAGACCCACGTGGGCAACTTGACGAGACCTCATCTCTACAACAAATCAAAAATTAGCCGGGCGAGGTAGCTCGCACCTGTAGTTCCAACTACTTGGAAGGCTGAGGCGGAAGGATCGCCGGAGCCCAGCAGGTCGAGGCTGCGGTCGCCAGGAGCGGCCATTGCACTCCAGTCTGGGTGACAGAGTGAGACTCCAACTCAAAACAAACAAACAAACAAAAAAACCCAAAAAGCTGGCCATGGTGGTTCATGCTTGTAATCCCAGCACTTTGGGTGGTTGAGGTAAGAGGACTGCCTGGAAAACTAACTTGGCAAGACCTCATCTCTATAATAAATTTAAAAATTAGGTGGGCATGGCAGGAAGTTCCAGCTTCTTGGAAGGCTGAGGCAGAAGAATCACCTGAGCCCAGTATGTCAAGGCTGCAGTAGCCTTGATCTTGCCACCGTACTCCAGTCCAGCCTGGGCGACAGAGTGAGACTCTGGCTCTTAAAAAAAAAAAAAAAAAAAGATCTTCCAATTCTATCACTGTGTCCCTCTTCCTTCCCATTCTCACTATAACCAGACAGCAAAGGTGCTTGTCTCCATTCCTTGCTGCAGGTTCCTGACTAGCCTCCCTCATCCCTGCCATCCATCTTGTCCCTGTACTGCTAATACACGGGAGCTTTCGGAAGCATGACTTGGATCTTGTAACAACCCTGATAAGAAACTTTCCAAGGCTTCCCCTGCCTACAGTAAAGGTCTGGTTCAAGCTACTCCTTCAGCTTTGTCTCCTCCTCCAATCCAACCTATCCCCTCTGGCCCAACCAGATCCATCTCTTAAAGTTATACAAACTTCATGGCACAATCATTCTCACCCCAGGACCTCAACACCCGCAACCCCCCCCCGACATGGGACAGCAGCACCCAACACGAGAACCAAGCAAAGAAGAGAGCCCCTTCCTTGCTGTAGGTCAAATGTCCATCTCCAGATTCAAAAGCCAATACTTGGCACTCCCAACTTCATCTTCTAAACTGCAGGCACTGCATATAATCACACTACCTCCCTTCTGTGACCTCCCAGCATCCCCCATCTCTACTGCAGAATTAAAGCAATAGAATCAGCCTTCACCTAAGCCCCTACTGTGAGACACCCCACAAGGATGGCAGAGACTTGACTTGAGTGGTGGTCATGGACCTTTGATGGTGGAGGGAGAAAGGGAGAGGGATTCTTAGCCCAAGTCCGTCCCACCCCTCCCAGGCCCTTTCTGTAAGCCCCTGGCATATGGAGAATTTCCCAGGCATTCAGTACATACTGTCCAATCTCTACAAGATATAAGCCTGGCTATGGTGCAGTGGAGTTAGGAGGAGGAAGGAGAGAGAGCGCGATCTCTCAGGGGGCCATCGCTTCCTCCTGATACCTGGAGAGCAGTGTCATTCAGCCCCTGAGATGCACTAAGCCACACCCCCACCCCACGTCACCATCTCAGGAGCATAGCGCTAGGGAAGCCCACGCAAGCAGGGAGACTGAGACAGATTTCAGGGATGGCTGGAAGGAAAAGGGGAGGGGGATTTAACTGCTCACATACCTGATCAAACAGGACTCTCCAGTGCTGGTAGAGAGGGAGGCCATGCAGGAGAGGAAGAAGAGGAGAGAAAGAAAGACACACATCACCAAGGTCTCAGCATCCCCTGATGTTTCTGTCAGAGCCTCCCAGCTGCTGCCCGGGAGTCATCACCAAGCTCAGGGACCTGCCACAAGAGACCAGGGAAAACCTGGTCCCCCAGTGAGTCCACACTGAGCAAACGGAGGAAACTCACAGTTAGGGATGATGGGGGTGGGGTCAGCAAAGTGGGTGCTGCTGGTTCTGGAACTGGCCAGTGAGGGACGAACAGAACAAGGGTGATTCTTGACAATTACCAATAAAGGCGTCCAACTATGTCCAAGCGCTTCTAATGTTTCTTGCTGCCTGAAGCTTATGCCCACGGTCACCCCCAGGCCTGGGGTTGCATATGCCCGGGTGCAATTCCAACAGGCCCTGAGGGGAAGGGGGTCTCAACTTGCAGGGGACCAGAGACCCCTACTCAGGAGGACTCGCTCCTGCATAAACACTAACATTTTGCCTGCAAGGGTTATTTTTTTGAGGGGGGGTCCCGAATATGACGAAACCCACCCATTCTCTTCCTGGCTTGAGACTAACTGATGAGTCCCTGAGATTCTACCTGGGGCTTAGGGCCAGAAGGGAGTGATAGATTCAGCCACACCAGCCAAAGAGAGAAGATCGTAAAATCTTCCCAGCCCCACTCAGACTTTCCACTTTGGTTTGGTTTGGCGGGGGGAGGGGAGGCGGTTTCACTTCCACCTCTCCACCCCGAGGGAGAGGGGCCAGAGCAGGAGATCTGCCCGGTTTTTCGCCTCTATTTGTAGGTTAATCCCGGGAGGGAGAAGCTGAAGAAACTCCAGTTCCCAGGGCTTCCCAGCGCCGGCGGAGGACGGAGAGCCGAGCAGCAGGCGGCCGGGAAGCCCTCTGGGGAAGCCCCTCCCTATCCGCGCCAGGGGACCGTCCCCGGCACCGGCGCGGTCCTGGACTCCCGAGCCCCCTTCTGGGAGCAAACCGCTCCCAGCACTCCTGGCCGGGCTCGGAGACAGGGGCCGGCTTGAATTTCAATCAGTGTCGCGACAGGGCAGGTGCCGGGCGGCAGCTGACCCGGG